TGGTAGAGGTTCAGGCTTCCTGCCTTACTGACCTCCGCAAATGATGTCCTCCATAGATAGCCAGGAGCTCATGCTTGTAATCCCAGCACTTTGGGCAGCTGAGGTAGGTGGATCACTTGAGGTCAGGAGTTCCAGTCCAGCCTGGCCAACATGGCAAAACCTTGTCTCTACTAAAAATACAAAAATTAGCCAGGTATAGTGGTGTGTGCTTGTAATCCCAGCTACTTGAGACGTTGAGGCAGCAGAATCATTTGAACCCAGGCAGCAGAGGTTGCAGTGAGCGGAGGTTGCACCACTGCACTCCAGCCTGCATGACATAGTGAGACGGCATCTCAAAAAAAAAAAAAAAAAAAAAAAAAGGCCGGGTGCAGTGGCTTGTAATCCCAGCACTTTGGGAGGCCGAGAGGGGTGGATCACGAGGTCAGGAGTTCGATATTAGTCTGGCCAGCACAGTGAAACCCCCTCTACTAAAAGTACAAAAATTAGCCGGGCATGGTGGCAGGTGCCTGTAATTCCAGCTACTTGGGAGGCTGAGGCAGGAGAATCGCTTGAACTTGGGAGGTGGAGGTTGCAGTGAGCCGAGATCATGCCACTGCACTCCAGCCTGGGCTACAGAGCTAGACTCGGTCTAAAAAAAAAAAAAAAAGATGTTCTCCACAGGTGACAAAGAGATGCCCAGCCAGCAACAGAGTCCTTGGCCAGCAGGCACCACAGTGACCACAGTACATGTGATTTTATGTCCACTGCCGAACCTAGCTGAGTCCCGAACATGCCTTAGGCTGGCACAGATTTCCTAAGTTGACCCCACAACTTCTCTGCAGCCCATCTTCAAAAAAACAGATGGGTCCTAATCACCCACAGAGGCAGTTGGAACGATAGCTATTTCCTACTCTTGTATATATTTTTTAAATTTGAGATGGGGTATCACTTTTGTCACCCAGGCTGGAGTGCAGTGGCGTGATCATAGATCGCTGCAGCCTTGACCTCCTAGGTTCAAGCAATCTTCCCAACTTAGCCAACTGAGTAGCTGGGACTATAGGTATATGCCACTATGTCTGGCTGATTTTTTTTTTTTTTTTTACTTTGTAGAAACAGGATTCCATTACCTTGCCCTGGATGGTCTCAAACTCCTGGGCTCAAGCTATCCTCCCACTTCAGTCTCTTAAAGCACTGGGATTATAGGTGTGACCCACCTCACCTGGCCCAGTTATTCCTTTTACCAATGAAAAAGCCAAAACTCAGAGAGGTTACATGGCATGCCCAGAGCCACACAGCTTCTGAGAGGCACAGCTGAGATCTGAACCCAGATCTGCCTGTCTCCAGAGTTCAAGATCCTTCATCTTCACTTTTTGCTTCCAGACATCAGTCTACATAAATTCTTAGAATATGAGAGCCAGGATGTGCTTAAGAAATATCTAATGTGGCCGGGTGCAGTGGCTCATGCCTGTAATTCCAGCACTTTGGGAGGCCGAGGTCAGGAGTTCAAGACCAGCCTGGCCAACATGGTGAAACCCTGTCTCTATTAAAAATACAAAAATTAACTGGGTGTGGTAGCAGGTGCCTGTAATCCCCACTACTTGGGAGGTTAAGACATGAGAATCACTTGAGCCAGGAGGCAGAGGTTGCAGTGAGCCAAGATCGTGCCACTGCACTCCAGCCTGGGCAACAGAGCAAGACTCAATCTAAAAAAAATTTTTGTATTTTTTTTTGAGACAGAGTCTTGCTCTGTTGCCCAGGTTGGGGTGCAATGGCACTATCTCGGCTCACTGCAACCTCCACCTCCCATGCCCGGCTAATTGTTGTATTTTTTAGTGGAGACGGGGTATCACTATGTTGGTCAGGCTAGTCTTGAACTACTGACCTCAGGTGATCCACCTACCTCGGCCTCCCATAGGTGTGAGCCACTGCGCCCAGCAGGTACCCTTCCTTTCTTTGGAAGGATTGTGATGCCAGCCTGGCACACTGTGCTCTGTCCTTGGTACTGAAGCAACCAGCGTGATGTTTCTTGGGACCAGGGACACTGGTTAGTGACTCTTCTCTCAGTAACTCTACACCAGGTGAGGATTTTCATTTTTAACTTTGAGATATAGCAGTACTATTTGCATATTGCACCCCTCCTCTCCTTGGGGTACTGGCTGTACTCACTCTCCAGGGATTCTAGTTAGAGATACCCAACTCTACATATCAAGCCTGCACAGCACACCCACCAGCTTTGACCCCACCACACCCAGTGAGCACATATTCTATTTGCTATCCCCTCCAAATTCATAGCCTATCTCCATCACCGCACCGGATATCAGATGGGAGGTTAATGGCTTGCCAAATAAGCAGAACCCTATCTTGGTCTCCCAAACTAAACTGCTTCATTCATGCATTTTTGACAGTTGTATCATTTCCACCAATCACAAGGTAATTTTTTTCTGTTTGAAAATGGCAAGGAAAACACCCCCAACCCACTCCCTTCACACTTGTGAGAGCTGCATGAGCTGAAAGTGACTCTTCCAAAAACTCTTCTAAGCTTGAGAAGCTTGAGACTTCAGCATGAGACTGGAGTGTGACAGCTTGGTCTGCTCTGGCATCAGAAGAGAGGGAAAGTGAATTCTTGGAGGTCTTCATATTCCAGGAGAGATCCCAAGAGACATGCAAGAATGGCAACCAGGCCTCTGTTTGACCCTCTTGCTGCATCTTGGTGCTAAGTGGGGCGGAGGAAGAGAACACACACGCTGCTCCGGTGTCCTTTTCCCCCATCCATGCCTCCCAGCAGAAAACTTTCTGTTCCCTATCAGCAGCCGCAGAATGAGATCATGTCTGGCCTGTTAGAAAAACCAGAATGAAGGATGGAGCAGAAGGTGGATTGGGGCAGCAAGAAGGGAGTAAGGCAGCCTCAGGCCAGTCCTCATTGCTGAGTGCTGGGGAGGAGGGAAAGGAGAAGTCTCCCTCCCTCTTTTCTGAGCATTGTGTTCCCTTCTCCCAGTGAGACGGGGATGGATGATGCGGAGGGAAGGTGTCAAAGAAGGGCACCCAAGCCGGTGGGCAGGAGAGCTGTGGGCTTGCAAGGGAGAGGGAGAATTCGCAGTAGGATGTCGTTGTCTCCATCCACAGAGCCAGGGACGGCCTCCTGTCCGCAACTGCATTCCTCACCCCACTAGCCCTGGGAGTAAATTTTGGCTGCACCATTAGTTCACTGTGACCCACTGGGCAAGTCACTAAACTTTCCCAAGCCTCAGTTTCCTCATTTGTAAAACAGACAGGCTGATCCCTAAGAGAGGTGTAGTGCAGGCAGGCAAGAGAGGTGAGGCAGGCAAAGGCACGGCGCGAGACACACGGGAGACCCAGGCGCTTGACCGTCCACACCACACGGCGCTTTCCCCACCCTGGCCCGGCGCGCTCACCGGTTCTCAGCCACCAGGATCTGCTCCAGCAGGCGTGCGGCCTGCACACGCGTCTCCAGCTCCGGCGCCTGCAGCAGCCGCAACAGCAGGTCGAGGCCGCCGTCCAGGCGGATGGCGTCACACAAACCCTGGGCCACCTCGCGGCCCACTGCTGGCAACAGCCAGGCCTCCTCCACCAGCTGGTAGACCTCGGCCAGGCCGGCGCCCACGGCCCGCGCGCCGCCCGCCTGCTTCAGCTCGGACAACGCCTGCTGCAGCTCCGGCAGCGCACGCTCCAGGGCGTCCTGCACCTCGGCGCCTGCCCCCGGCGACACTTCTCGGGGCCCGCGGCTGCCCGCAGCCCACCAAGGGCCGGCGCTACCGCTTCTATCCGGCCCTGGCACTGCCAGCCGATCGGGGCCCGGCCGTGGGCCCGACATGGCGAAGAGGCGACACAGCTTGTAGGCGGAGAGAAGCAACGTCAGGACCATGGGCGCGGGACTGCAGGGGACATCCCCGGCCTGGAGGCTGGGGGCGCTCGGAGAAACCCCGGCTTTGAGAAAAGAGAAACCTCAGAGGGTTCGGGAGAAGAAGATGGAGGGGGAGGAATGGAGAGAAGGGTACCAAGCAAGGGCGCCGGCCAGAAGTTTAGGGGAGGAGTGAGGGCGGGGTCGGGGGCGCAGCGGTTAGCAAAGGTGATGCGCGCCCAGATGCAGGAAGTGGACGAAAGAAGAGAGCAAGGAGGCGAGGGATGGCTCCGGACGCCGGAGGGTAGAGGAGGCGGCAGCTGGAACAAAGTGTGGCCCCGGGAGGAGCTCCTCTGGGGCTGGGAGATGCTCGGCAGCAGCCACGCCCCAGAGTCGCCCGGGTCCCGGGAGCCGACGCCCCGCCTCTGGATCCCCCGGGGCTCCTCCCACTGCCTGGGCAGCCCCACCCCCAAAGCCGCCCCAGCCACGCCCACGCCCCGGCTAGCCTCCCCCAGCCCCTGAGTAGCAGCCGCCTCTCTCTGCGCTGGACTTGGACTAAGGGAGTGGAGACTGAGAGGACGGTCTCAGTTCTCCCCCCGCCCCCGGTGACACCGGTACTTGGGAGCAACTCCGCTGCGTGCCCCCCTCCCTACTAAGTGGTTAAAGCAATCATCATAAATCTTAAGACCCTTTTATGCCTGTTTCTCAGTGAAACCTCACAACATGCCTATCAGGTGGGGATTGGTGTCCATTCCACAGATGACGCGACTGAAGCCCATGGGGAAGAGATTGGCCAAAATCACAGGTCCCTCTGATTACAGAACAGAAAACGTCAGCTAAAATCTTAGGATCACTTTCTTCAGGTGATGGGAGGGCTTCAGATGTTCTGTGGATGCCTTAAACTGGGCACGAAGTTAGGTGTTTTGTGCCAGTGGGCACTTTCCAAGTCGAGGGATCATATTTCTCTTGAGAGCTTAAAAGTGTGCTGAACAAGCCCACTCTTTACAGATGGGGAGACTGAGGCTGGGGACAGGGAGTGGCCTGCTCAGAATAAGTGAAAAGACTCAGAAATCAGATCCAGTCCAGAGGGTTGATATTTACCCAAATTTCCAGCCTGGGGAGATTGATGCACCCAAGAGAAGAATCCAGAAATAAAACTTTGTTCTTTTATGCTAAAAAAGAAAATTCCCCAGAGTGCTTACAATCTCTCTTCCCACTTCCTTTTTCTGCCCTAAATAAACAATAGCAAATGAACACCCAACCAGGGTTGTGTCTGATCAAACAATCATGGATCGGTAGCCATTTTTGGAGAAGGAATTTGTGGCTGCTCCAGCTACTGGGCATTTTGTCTGTTCTAGTTCATGTAGTCTCCCAACACCCCATGAGGCAAGGCTTTGTTAGTCCCATTTTACTGAAAATGAACTAAGACTCAGAGAGATAAAGCTGTTGCCCAGTGAGCCTTCTTTACACCCTCCAGACCCACTGTGCTAATTCCCTCTTCTGATGACCTAACGATTCTGAGCTTGGCAAAGGTCTTATCTCCCAGCTTTCCCAGACCCAGTGTTCCAGGAATGTGACCCTTTGCTGCAGCAGCTGCTGGAGGAGGGCAGAGGGGGATGGGCTGGAGGTTGAGCAAACAGAGAGGCAGAAAAGGCATTTCCTCTTCACCAGTCCCCTCCCTCCCTGTCTCTGCCTCTCCCTCCCTTCCTCAGGCATCAGAGCGGAGTCCTCAAGGAGAGCAGAGTCCTCAGGGAGATCAGAGCCCAGCTCGCCAGCCACTGAGCTAGAAGCCCTGTCATGGCAACCCTGAGACCCCTTCTCATGCTGGCCCTGCTGGCATGGGTTGCTCTGGCTGACCAAGGTACAGGAGGGTGTTGGTGGTTGTCTGGATCTATGTAGGGTGGGCGAGGGTGGCCCGGGCTTGGCGGCACCAACTGATACCCCTTCCTTATAGACTCCTGCAAGCACCGCTGCACTGAGGGCTTCAACCCCGACAAGAAGTGTCAGTGTGATGAGCTCTGCTCTTACTACCAGAGCTGCTGCACGGACTATATGACTGAGTGCAAGAAAGGTGTGTTCAGAGCCCAGGTGGGTAGGCTGGGGTCCTCCCTGCAGCTGGAGACTCACTACCCTCCACTCTCTCTGCAGTGACTCGTGGGGATGTGTTCGTCATGCCGGAGGATGAGTACGGGGTCAGTGACTATGACGAGGAGAACAAAAACACCACCACCGTGCACCCACAGCCCGGGGAGCCCTCCATGACCCATGACCTCCAGGCCCAGCCTGAAGGGAATACTGAGCAGCCACATGTTATGACCTCAAGCTCTGATACCCTTGATCAAGGGGCCTCTGAGACCCTAGCAGAGGAGGAGCTGTGCAGCGGGAAGCCCTTCGATGCCTTCACTGACCTCAAAAACGGTTCCATCTTTGCCTTCCGAGGTGATTCCAGGGGCAGGTCTTGGGCATGGGGGTCTGCCCCACAAGCATCCCCACTCTCACACCACCTCCTCCACTCTAGGGCAGTACTGCTATGAACTGGATGAAAAGGCAGTGAGGCCTGGATACCCCAAACTCATCCGAGATGTCTGGGGCATCGAGGGCCCCATCGATGCCGCCTTCACCCGCATCAACTGTCAGGGGAAGACCTACCTCTTCAAGGTGCCAGGGGCTGTGGGTCAGGGTAGAAAGCATGTAGGGAGGGTTTGAGAGCTATTGTTCCCAGGGACAGGGTAGATAGGAAGGCCAGACCTAGGCCCTGCAGGACCTTGTGGAGGCTCTGTGAGCACAGGGCAGTCCCAAGACTCCAGGTCCTGGGCAGTGAACCTGAAGCTGGGAATGGCTGCTTTAGGGCAAGAGACTCTGCCTTCCCTCCATACCTCCTTTCACCTTCTCTACCTCTTAGGGTAGTCAGTACTGGCGCTTTGAGGATGGTGTCCTGGACCCTGGTTACCCCCAAAATATCTCTGACGGCTTTGATGGCATTCCGGACAACGTGGATGCAGCCTTGGCCCTCCCTGCCCATAGCTACAGTGGACGGGAACAGGTCTACTTCTTCAAAGGTACTCAGGGGGCGGGTGGGAGTCTGGGCAGGTTTGGGAGCAGTCTCAGATTCCTTTCAAACTTCACTGGGGACAGGCCTCAGCGTGTGCCCAACCCCTACCCCACCTCATGTTGGGAGCTCCTAACTTCAACAGCCTCTGGGATCTCCAGTCATGTTCTGGCCCAGCCCTCCTAATGCCCACCACCCCGCTCCTCAGGGAAACAGTACTGGGAGTACCAGTTCCAGCACCAGCCCAGTCGGGAGGAATGTGAAGGCAGTTCCCTGTCAGCAGTGTTTGAGCAGTTTGCCATGATGCAGCGGGACAGCTGGGAGGACATCTTCGAGCTTCTCTTCTGGGGCAGAAGCTCTGGTATGGAGAGAGGGCAAGTCTTGCTTCTCCTTCAAAAGGGCTGGAACCCGTGGGTAGCGGTAGAGCCAGGCTGACTGGAGGGGGCTGTTTGTGGAGCTATCGATCAAAGGCTATTTGCTCAGGCTAGACTTTGCTTCTGTTGACCTTTTGGGGGACGCTCAGCTCCACCTGGACCCCACACCTTGGACTTTGCCTAGCACAGCTGGGGGCACAGCCAGCAGAGGGAGGGGCTATGGCTGAGGAGTTTAGGGGGCCTAGGGTCGAGACACCATGGAGGGAGTGCAGGGGGAAGGGCATTGGACAGAGAATCAAAGGCTCTGCCATTAGCTGCTGGGCTCTGCCATTAGCTGCTGTGTGTCTTTGGGCAAGGTGCAGCAGATGAACTCTAATGGCCCTGCTGGAGGGGGCAAGACTCAGACGTCCAAGACCTCTCATTCACCCCTTCCCTGCCACAGCTGGTACCAGACAACCCCGGTTCATTAGCCAGGAGTGGCACGGTGTGCCAGGACAAGTGGATGCAGCCATGGCTGGCCGCATCTACGTCTCAGGCATAGCACCCCGCCGCTCCTTGGCCAAGAAGCAAAAGTTTAACCATCGCAGCCGCAAAGGCTACTCTTCACGCCAAGGTCGCAGCCGTGGCCACAAGCAGAACTCCCGCCGGCCATCCCGAGCTACCTGGCTGTCCTTATTCTCCAGTGATGAAAGTGACTTGGGAATCAACTCTTATGATGGGATGGACTGGCTTGTGCCTGCCACCTGTGAACCCATCCAGAGTGTCTTCTTCTTCTCTGGAGGTAGGAGCCCCTGCCACCCCTGAAGCTGGTCTAGCTTGGGTCTTCCTTGCTGTCCCAGGTCCACAAGGGCTGAATACAGGCTGCAGGTAGTGATCACAGAAAGCCAGGCCAGAAGTCCTTAGCTGCATGGTGGATATTTACTTTTCCTTCTGGTAGAGACCCTAGACTTTCTTCTCAAAGAAAGAGTGGGCAGGACCTGGCTGGGCCTCACACGCCCTCTTCTTTCTTCTCTTCCAGACAAGTACTATCGAGTCAACCTTCGCACACGGCGAGTGGACACTGTGGACCCTCCCTACCCACGCTCCATCGCTCAGTACTGGCTGGGCTGCCCAGCTCCTGGCCGTCTGTAGGAGTCAGAGCCCATATGGCTGGGCCCTCTGTAGCTCCCTCCTCTAATCTCCTTCCCCCAGCCCAATAAAGGTCCCTTAGCCATGAGTTTAAGACTACTGTCCTGACTGGGGTGGACACTTCCCTGCCTGGGTAAAGGAGAGGAGGCTGGGCTGTCAGAATGGGTTGGCGAGGGGGACAGAGAAGGGCCTCGCTGTGTCTAATCCATGTTTGGCTCGGTACCTGTGAACTGAAGTTTGGGGCTAGAGAGGGCCTCCTGAGAGCTACCCTTCCTCTTGAGTTAAGCAGCCCCCAGTAACCCACCAGCAGCTAAGCAGGCAC